TATTTTGAATATGTGTCATATTTTGGACACATTATGGTGTATCTATGGGAAAGATGACATTACTAGGCAAGATGGGCAGAAGAGGAAGAAGTGGCTGGCAGCATATGAGGCAAATAGATAAAGAATTGGAAGCCCCAGAAATGCAACTGCAAGAATTGCATAATGCAGCAAGAGACAGGCCTGTTTGGAGATCTTTTATCCACTGAGTCACCAGGAATTAGCTGACTCAAGTGAGCATAACAATATTAAAAATTCTCTGTTAAAAATTCCACTGCTGATATTTTATAAGTGAAAATACAGAGATTGAAGAAATGTATTTATTTATTCTCCACATTCCTGGACTGCCCATCTACCTCAAAGTATTTGTATTTGCACTAAATTGCAGTTAGTACAACTATAGAAAGGGAAGGAACCTTATTTCCACTTTTGTTCCTCTTGTTAAATGATTGTGATTCTCAATGTACATTAAAGAGGAGCAAAGCTTTGTTCACGTGGCTGTGAACGACTAGCACATATGTGCACATGTATGCGAGGGGAACCTTTACCTATTCTGCTTCCAGCCACTAGCTGGGCTCCTTATTTTTGAATCCAAGAACTTCTTAGGTCCCTTCCAAACAAACAAACAAACAAACAAGATGTCAGCCTCTGTTTTGCTGCTTGCTTTCGGCTGCCATTGAAATGGGGAGAGGGGGCATTGTATGTGTCAGCACAGGAGTGACTGTATAAAGGGAGTTGTTATCACCATCTACTGCGCATGTTGCAGATAAAGGATTTGCCGCCAAGGCCAACTGTCTGGCATACCAGCCTGATGATGCTTTTTGAAGATGTCTCCCACATGACGCCTGTGGGGTGTACTGATTGGACTATGGGATGGGGTTACCAGGGGGAGGGGTTGGGTCACATATTGATATCTATGATTACACACGCTTTTGCCTCAGATCTTGCTTTGCCTAGCTACTATCTATTGATGACCAGTAAAAGTACTCTTAATTCTGCAAAATGGAGTTGAGTGGTTTCTTTCTCGGTTACTCAGTGAAGAGCCCTGACACAGACAGACGGATAGATAGATAGATAGATAGATAGATAGATAGATAGATAGATAGATAGATAGATAGATAGATAGAATGAGGTTGTACCTCTAAAAAAGACACAAATAAAAACAAGAATTTCTTTGAACATTTCAGATTGATTCAGGATATGAAGAAGTCATGTGCTTATATGATGGATCATTAAGCTCTGGAAGAACCTCTCCATAGTACCTGAGGACAGGACAAAAAGCAGTGGGTGGAAATTCATCGGTGGGAGATCCAACCTGAAAATAAGGAGGAATTTCATGACAGTGAGAAGGATTAAACAATGGAAAAATGTGCCTGTCAGAGTTGTGGGTGCTCCATCACTGGAGATTTTAAAGAAAAAAAATGGACAACGATTAGTCCAGGATGGTATAAGGATTCCTGCCTTGGGTGAAACGGATTGTACTAGAGCAGGGCTGTGAAACTCCTGGCCCATGGGCCAGATGCGTCACGTGCTGGCCATGCCCACACCTGATTTAGCGAAGGGGAAAAAAGTCCCAATACATTGCATGATGCAGCCGTGATGACATGAGTTTGACACTCCTGTACTGGAGGATCTCCAAAGTCCATTCCAGCCCTATGATTCTATGCTTCTATGAAGGCATTTAAGGTTTCCATGAACTTCACTTCATTTGATAGAAAAGGGCAATGCCATGCTTTATTTCCTCTATGGACAATGTTCATCTTCCAGGTGAACATCTCTCTTTCATATTTTACATTGGCTTGTTTTTTTTTTCCACACTGTTGTTGCAAAAAAGGTCATTGTTGACAAGTGAGTCCTAGGGAGGTGGGGAAAAAAAAACATGATTTCTTCCTCTTCCCAAAGTAGCTCATAGTGTCAAGTGCCTTTTCATCCCCCGAATCTGACCTGTGCTTCTTACTGTGCCATGCTTGTGAGTGGTGATAAAAAGAGATCCTGAGGATAGCAGGAAACACAGATTGCCTTTCTCACACCAGATGCAGCCAAGTAACAAGGATCTGAACTGTGTTTGCTTCTGAAATAGCACCCTGTCATTCACGGCAATATTTTTTTTTAATTAAACATTGCCACAATGCCCTTCACTGGTCAAAGTGTATTGGAAAATTTATTCTGCTGTATATGGGTAGTCCCAACCTGTTTCACAATGGCATGAGGTTAATTGTTTAGTAATATATCTTTCTTACAACATACTGTATTTTTGTCTGCCTAGCTGCGAGGTATTTCAGTATTTACTGAAATGAACATAGTGTAGTTATCCAAACTTTTCGGATAAGAGGATACTCAATAAAAAATAGAATTTGGGAAATAACAGGGATTGGGGTGGGGGGACACATTATTTTAATGGGGTGACATTCAGGATCTCACTGTCTTGGATTGTTCATAAACTTTGGAAAAATATGTTAAATGGCTCAATATTGTGGTCATTGAGGTAAAGGACCAATCATGTCCAACTCTAGAGGGTGGTGCTCATTATCTGTTTCTTAGCTGAGGGAGACAGTGTTGTCCAAAGATGTTTCTGTGGTCATGTGGCCAGCATGACTATATGCTAAGATATATGGAACATTGTTACCTTCCCACTGAAATGGTACCTATTTATATACTTGCTTTCGAACTGCTAGGTGAGCAGGATCTGGGGCAAATAATGGGACCTCACCCTGTCCTGTTGTGCTCGGATCTTGAACCAAGGCTGTCAGCTTTCCAGATGACAATAGCAAAGACACTTAGCAGTGCTTTACAGTCCTCTCTAAGTGGATTGCAGAGTCAGAATATTGCCCCCAACAATCTGGGTCCTTATTTTACTGACCTTGGAAAGATGAGTCCAATTTGAGCCGGTGAGAATCAAACTGCCAAACTGCTGGCAGGCGGCAATCAGCAGAAGTAGCAATACTGTATTGTAACCATTGCACCACCAGGCTCTGACAAGTTCAACATTTTTAACTGCTGAGCCATCATTCACATACATACACACACACACACACACACACACACACACACACACACACACACACACAATTATTTTAATTTCATGGAAGAAACTTTATGCATCCAGCCTACTTTTCAATGAGCAAATGGCAGGGACAGCTGAAGGAAAGACTTCAACCCTGTTGCTTGGGGACCGCTACTCCCGTCCAGCTGGCTTCTTTTCCATGGCTACAGGGCTATTTCACTATCTAATGAAGAGTTAGGATATTTTTTTTCAAGCAGCGTACAATCCTGATTCCTCCATCCATGAACAGAAGGAGTCTTATTGGCATAGGCTGCGAAAAGAGTAAAGAGCCAATGTAAGTCTTAAGGAAGATAAGAAATAAAATATGAGCATGGAGAAAGCAAAACAACAATTAATTCATTGGTGTGTGCAGGGGGAATGAGGGTGCAAACAAGGAAAAGTGTCATCATACAAAGGCCACACCTTCTATCAGACACCAGTGCTTATTTTATGGCATTGCCACATGTATGTTGTCCTTTTAGCATCCTGGTGATTTGCTGCAGATTTCACTGAGTTAGCTGCCTAAAATAGATACCTGCTTAGTTATAATACAATTATGTAATGGTTAACTTACACCTGTACTGCTATGGTATTTTGGGATTATATTTGTAGCTTTTGAAACTTATATTGTACTGACCTTGGAACACAATCAAGAAGGGTTAAAGAAGAAACTCTTTCTGGAAATCATAGACCCATGAATGAAAGCTAGTTAAACACAGCTCATAACAGAAAATGAAGGAAGCCCATTTTCAATCCCATACATGGATGTAATAGAATGGATAGCGTGATATTTGTCTGACTATAGGGAAGTGGTTTTCCTAGCAACATCAGTTAAATGGTTAGCCACTGTCTCCCTTTAGGATATGTTCTGACTGCACAGTCTAGTTTGCAGTTTTGGGCTCTCCTGATACCCTTCATTCTGAGCACTAATTCATGTCTGAACCTGACTTAAATTAGCTTTTTCAAAAAATCAGCCAAGCTAGGGATGCCCATTTGTCCCATAAAACTGAGATTGAGCACTGGGAGAAACAGCACATAATTTCATTACCATGGAATATGACATTCTTCGAAAGAGAATTCAAAATATGATCAATTTGCATCCAATGCATAGAAATGAGTATTTGCGACCAGAGCTCATTTCCATTGCAAAATAGATTGAATTTCTGCATGAAATGTGGAGAATGGTCTAAAACCAAAATAATAAAGCCCCTGAAACCTTTAGAAACATGTTTCTTTTCTTCAAATGTTCAGAATTTGACAGGGTTCTCAGACCTTATTCTCCTGTTCTATTTGAACCTACATATAGAGGATATTCTCTGCTATTGGACTGTGGTATGACAAAGGATCAAAGTTAACTTACAGTACGTAAGATTATCTCTAGAAAGCTGTAATAAGACTATCGTATAAAATATTACTTCCCTCCCCCCCACCCCATCTAAAACATTGACAATGTACACTGCATGCCCCATTATTCCACAAACAATCTCACCAACAAATTCCCAGATTGCAATGTCACATATAGTTGGTGGCAATAGAATGGAATGGAATGGGATGAGATGGAATGGAATAGAATAGAATAGACTTGGAAGGAACCTTGGAGGTCTTCTAGTTCAACCCCATGCTTAGGCAGGAAACCCTATACCATTTCAGACAAATCGTTATCCAATCTCTTCATAAAAGTTTCCAGTGCAGGAACATTCACAACGTCTAGAGGTTCCACTAATTAATTGTTCTAATTGCCAAGAAATGTCTTCTTAATTCTAGGTTGTGTCTCTCCTTGATTACAGTAGTTTTCACCCATTGCTTCTTATCCTGCCCTCAGGTGCTTTGCAGAATAGCTTGACTCCCTCTTCTTTGTGGTAGCCCCACAAAGGAGTCATATGGGGTTTTATAATGAGATATGTTTCCAGTTCTTTCAGATTTAGGAAGGATTAAGTATATGTTTTTGTTTACCTTGTAGGTATTTCTGAAAAGTGACCGTGTCGCCAGGATGGTTCAGAGTGGTGGGTTCTCAGCTAATGACTCCCGAGAAGTCTTCAAGAAACATATCGAAAAGAGGGTCCGTAGCCTGCCTGAGATTGATGGTCTCAGTAAGGAGACTGTCCTGAGTTCCTGGATGGCAAAATTTGATGCAATATATCGAGGGGAAGAAGATCCACGCAAAGCTCAAGCCAGAATGACAGCAAGTGCTGCTTCAGAGTTGATTCTCAGCAAGGAGCAGCTGTATGAGATGTTCCAGAACATCTTGGGAATCAAGAAATTTGAGCATCAGCTTCTGTACAATGCATGTCAGGTAAGTTCTCCTTGTTATTCAGGAAACCATCTACTGTGAAATTGTAGACACAATAGAATATCTGTTCCTGATTTGGCGTTAGTATGAATCATATGGTAAGAAGGAGATGAAGGAGCTTTGCCTCTTGCTATTCCCTCTGTTTCTGCTCTTTCTGTTATGGGGAACACAGGACGGTGTGCTTGATTGAACGATGTGATGACATCTTATATTAGCCTTTGGGTATAGGATGGCAAGGTTTTTTATTCAAAAGACTAGCAGAGTTTGTTTGAGGCATGGGTGATTCTACCAGAGTCTACCAGGATGGGATGAAGTAGGGTGATTGTGTTCTGATTTGGATCTTATTGCATGAAGTTTTTTGAACAATGTCCAGAGTATTGTCAATCTTATTGACAATATCTTCCAATATTCATGGAAGAACAATTCTTGGAGTTTAGCTTTTGGAGTCAGTCTGGTCACATAAAGCCAGACATAATGACATAGGTAGATGAAAGACGCTGTAACTTGATTGGGTTGAAAACAAGGACTATTTGTCTCTTGCCTTTTAACACATGAAATAGAAATGATGGTACTGTCCCATGTACATTTTATAATTATAATTAATTAATAATTATAATTTATTATTTTATATTTAATAATTTATAATAACTAATATGGAGAAGGAATGCTCCTGAAGAATATAACTTGCATTTGTTGATTGTCCAGTTTTCTACCCTACATTTGTTTGGGTGTGTTTAGTATGCAGAATGTTATCTCAAACATGTTTTTTCAAGAAGCAACTGCACTTTCTGGTTTTTCTTTGAAGATGTTTCACTTCTCATCCAAAAAATTTCTTCAGAGCTCTTGAAAAAACACATTTGGGACAACCGTGACCTGGATGACTGAGAATCACCATAGACATTTATGCAGAATGTTATTGATGCTGGGAACTTGATTATGAGGCCCTCACTAAAGCAGATGAGGATGTTGGAATAAAATATTATAAGAGAACATTTTTTCTTCTTCCTTTTCTCGACAACAAATTTTAACGTGGTGAGAAATTGATGACACAGATGTTGGGTTGGCCCATGAGTCTTTTAAATGTCTTCAGCAAGAATGGAAATATTGGAATTAAGTCCTGAAAAGTGATAGAATCTTAGGCTAACTGGTAGCCAGTCTTCTGTCAACTGAAGAAACTTTGAACCTCAAGACCAAGACCAAAGACCAGAGGCTTTAGGAAATTGTGTGCTACACAAAAGCTAGGGATAAAAGCTAGCTTATAAAAAGTGTCTGTTACATGGTTGGTTCAAATCTTAATTAGATGACTTTGAACATTTAATGGCACTGATAGTAGCATAGCAGAAATCTGAGGGCTCCTCTGTGGGTCATAAAGACAAGAGAACTGCCAGAAAGTTTTGGAGACATGGGAGGGGATTGGGAGGAAGACAAGGAGACTATAAAAGTGTTTTACAAATGCTTGGTAATGCTGACAAAGGCTTTAGAAACTTCATCAAGGTAAAAAAAAAGGACATGGTGCATGCTCAGATAAGATTGCATCTGGATACCTGCAATAGAAGGAAAATGTTTTTTTGATGTCAGCTCTAAGAGGTTTTCAAGAAAATGTTGAGAGAACATTAAAGAAAAAACAAGTTAAACAAATTCTGATGAACCAGAAGGACAATCAGCTAAATTTGATTTATTGAAAGTTATAAACCAAGTTCTGAACCGGTTAATAATCACTTTCTAGTGTATAAATGAGGATAACATATGCTTAATTAAAGAAATTGGAGATTGTTAGAAGCAGGCTGTGATCTGTATCAGGTCATATGGCATTCTGGAACTGAAATATATATAATTGTACCGTGCTCCTTTATGCACAGTGCAAGAAGGATTGTTGGTAATTAAAAACTAGACTTCTCATTTAAGTGCAATCAAATATATTTCTAGAATTTCTACCCTAGGTTCTTCCCACTCTTTTGGCTGATTAAATAGACTGAACAAGTTAATTTGTTTTGTTTTGTCTTTCCTGAACTATATGTTAGCCTTATCTGATTTATTTTGTTTTTGCTGTCTCCAGACCATTAAGTTATCTGATGCTAGGTTTTGAGGCATATGCTATATTTTTTTGGTAAATTCTTTTCTGTTGCTGGAAGGAGGGTTTTCCAGACGTACAAATATTGAGAATGAATGAATGAATAATGTATGAATGAATATTCTGGAGATGATACATTTAATGCTTGAACCTTTGTAGCCAAGTTTGAAATCAACTGGCTCATTCTAAACTAGAAGGGTTACCATAGTTACAGATTAATAATACTGATGTGTTCATTTTGAATATCTCAGCCTTTCCCTGAATCTCTGCAGCTGTTCAAGGTTGCTGAGATCTTGCTCAGCTAATCTAGTTTTAGGAGAATGGTCATAGCATCTGTAGGACTTGACTGAACAGTCTTTCAAAATAGTGACTTATTGGCTCTGTCTGTGACTTTTGTTTTATATCCATTCTAATGGGAAGTTACCGAGAGATAATTATTAAGGGGCAAGAGAATAATAGATTAAAAATAATGAAAACAATTTTACAAGAAACACATCTTAAAATAAGTTCTTTCAGGAGCCACAAGGTGAACATGAGGACTGTTCTGGAAATTGTTTGTTGGATAAAGCATCAACAGTAATGCAATCATATCTGGTAACATTTACAGATTCCTTATACATTTACACTGGATCTGACAACAAGACCTGATTGAGTAGCAATAATGATACAGATGGAGGATAAATGAAGATATCGGAGAATCATATGCTAGGCTGGATCAAGAAATTTACCTTTAGCCATCCAGATCAGAGTTTACTTTACTATTTACTATTGTGTACATCACCTGGGTCTAGAACTATGTTCATAAACATCCCACATAGGTTATGCCATACTGGTTACACTCTAAGCCAGGGCTCTCAAACTCCCGGTCCGTGGGCTGGATATGTCACGTGCTGGCCACAACCATGCCTGGTTTAGTGAAGGGGGGAAAGTTCTGATACTCACATGACACTGCCATAACAATGTGAGTTTGACACCCCTACTCTAAGCTTTCTTTATTTCACCAGTATAATATGAGAAGTGAGTGGAGAGAGAGATCAATGTAGTATAGGATCTCCTGCTGGAGCAGGGGGTTGGACTAGAAGACTTCCAATGTCCCTTCCCACTCTGTAATTCATTCATTCTCTCTCTCTCTCTCTCTCTCTCTCTCTCTCTCTCTCTCTCTCTCTCTCTCTCTCTCTCTCTCTCTCTCTCTCTCTCTCTCTCTCTCTCTCTCTCTCTCTCCCTCCCTCCCTCCCTCCCTCTCTCTGCCTCCCTCCGTGTGTGTGTGTGTGTGTCTGTAGGAAGTAGTAGGAAACCAGAATGCTGGACAATCTAGAGTACATCACCCATAGCAAAAGGTGCAGATCTATTTTCTGCTTAACCTTTATCTGAAGAGTTCTTGAGAACTCTTCAGAATGAATGGGTTTTACAGTGGACAATATGTCATTTGACCTTTGAAGGGCTATCTGGCAAAAAAAATGAACACGCAGTATAACAATAATAACAAAAAAACAAGTCAAACTCTTTTTGATTTGTTTTTTTTTCCATTCCACCATGACAATTACTTTTTGTGCTGAGACCTTTCGTCCACTTCCATAAGCTAATGGAATCTGTCTTCAGCCATTCCATGTTCATTATTTTTATAGGAACTGATTGTTCTGCCATTATCTCTTTTATAGCTCTGCTGTTGCTATCACAGTGTTATTACTGGAATTATTTCTGTAGCACATAAAGTTTCCAATTGACATCAAAATTTGATCCACAAACTGTCTTGGGATAAATAGTGATAACAGGTTAGGGTCTATGGGTTCAGTTGGAGCAAAACCTTTTCTATCACTCTTGCAATTAAATTCAGAACAGCTTTAAAATATAACAGTCCATAAGTCATCCTTGACTCCTGATAAGTACATGGATAGAACCACATTTTATAAGCAATATGGAAAGAAGTGACTCAACAACAATTAATCAATGGAATGACTTGCCATCTGAAGTTGTGGGTGCTCCATCATTAGAGGTTTTTAAGAACAGACAGGACAACCACTTGTCTAAAATGGTATAGGGTCTCTTGCTTGAGCAAGTTGGACTAGAAGATCTTCCAACACTGTTATTCTGCTATGTGCTATAGCCATCGGTCTTTGTGTGTGACTCCAAGTCAGTCTTGAAGATAGGCCCTTGCAGTTTTTTTGACAAGATTCCAGAAGTGATTTGTTATTGCTTTTTTCCTGGGACTAAGAGAGCATGATTGGCTCATTCAGCTGGTTTTGTGCCTAAGAAAAAGACTAGAGTGCATGGTCATTTCCTAGCTTGGTGCCTTTACACCAAACTGGTTCTCCATGGTCAATTGCCAGTTAATAAATATTATTATTATAGTAATAGCCAGCTGGAATTGTCACATGTGTGTGGTGGGATTCATTTTTTTTCACTACCGGTTCTGTGGGCGTGGCTTGGTGGGTGTGGCAGGCTGGATGGCTGTGGCTTGGTGGGCATGGCAGGGGAAGGATACTGTAAAATCTCCATCCCTACCCCAGTCCAGTGGAAGGATACTGAAAAATCTCCATTCCCTCCTGATCAGCTGGGACTCAGAAGGCAGACAATAGATGGGGGCAGGGCCAGTCAGAGGTGGTATTTAGCGGTTCTCTGAACTACTCAAAATTTTCACTACCAGCTTTCCAGAACTGGTCAGAATCTGCTGAATATCTTTATAGTCTTTTGGAATTTAGGCTGCCATTCTGGATGCTGAATGTATAGTGTATATATAGAGCAGACAGTTGAGGAAGGTTGGTCTATAAAGATTAAGATATAATATTCTTTGAGATTGTCCTCTGGATGCATTTCTTTTCAAAGCAATTTCAGAAATTTTGTGGTTCTCAGGTTTGCATGTTCCAGGAGACAAAATTATTTTTATTTCATGACTAGATCAATTTCCTTATATTTTTTTTTTCAATCTTTCTTC